GTCGTTTGGATTCCCGCCATTACGAATTCTACCATACCGAAAGTACATTAAGATAACTTCACAACGTTATTTTGGATTTCTTATTAAATTTTCTTCATGTCGTTCACAAACTATTATTTTTAAACTCGCCTTTAGAACGCGATGTATTTTTGTTGTTGTTCAATAACGGAGGTATGTGTATAAAAAAATGAAGTATTAACGTGCGTTCCGATTGGTCAAAAACATTTCTTATAATGCCAGTGAAGTCAGGCCCAGTTCAAACGTCCAACTTCTCATGTACCAAACCTAAAAGTTCGACATATCTAATTTGAGTCGAGCGGTGAATTAATTTCGAGTGGCCCACATGGGAATTTCGACCGTGGAGCGACTTTGTTTCAAACGTCGAACTTTTCAAGTGCCCAACCTAATGCATAAACGACGACAATTTCTTTTCACTGCTAAACATTGTAGAGCATGTTTTTACAGCGTAAGAATGAATAGAGTTCGACGAATTTAATTCAACGTCTAAATCGACCGTCGAACTTACAGTGAAAATTCCAGTGAAAATCTTGTTCCGCTGCCCATCTAAACGTGCTTCAAAATAGAAATCGTTTGACCTTAATGGAGTGTCCTCGAAAGTCTTCCCTACCGAACTGAGAGCTATACAGCTTAGTAAATGTCCATCAAAAGCAAAAAAGGGAGATAACTTATTAAAGGCGAAAATAGATAGAAGGGAAAGCTAAAGGACTGAATAAGTCTAAAAGGCAGTGAACATTTTTTTTTTCGTAAAGTATCGTGAAATTTTTGTCCTATGCACAGGCTTGAAATTCCAAAGCTCTAGTTATTTATGTTTGTAAAAAATAGGCGGCGAAGTTGGTTCAACTTGCAAACAACGGCTTGATTAGTTTCGGTTCGTTTCGGCCAATCATAGTTTACATAAATCAGCTTCACTTGCAAAAATTTCCAAGGGCGAATGGTTTATCCCCCTTCGGCAAGAAACACAACGAATTTAGACCCCGAGACAAAAAATGCTGAGCAACTCTCCTTCTTTCTTCGGAATAACAATAAAATCGGAGTATCTCACATTATTGCCAAAAGATGTCTGTTGTTCTTTGCCATGTGTCCAAACCATCGCGTTAAAAACAGAAACATTATGACGAAAAGTTTGTCAGTGCGCCTGTGTTATAACGGGACCACCTTAATTTCCACTTAGCTTCCCTGCATAAGTGATTTACGAATGAAAACTAAAGTTCAAATCCCTTTTTAGCCATTATTGGTAAAATTGCATTATTAAATCCAGCCTCTTGAATCCTTAGGTAAAGTTTTTGTTTTCTTCTGTAAAGCTGATATTACATTAATCGTACCTTTCTAATGTTTCAATACTTTTTATACTCTAGTAACACACTGGCTGTAAACATGTCTTAAACAACGTCAAAAATGGTGTAATAATTTCCGCATTATACGCCATCCTATCTACTCAGAGATGATACACTGACAAAAAGGGACGATGTAGAGTTTTTATGCTGATAGCCTGCGTGGCAGGCGTTCGAAAGGGAAGGGGAAGGGAATTTGGGCGCGAGACCACGCGCGAGGGAGGAGGGAGGAGCGGAACCCCCCTCCCTCCTTCCTCGCGCGTCCCTCGCGTTTCTCTCGCGCCTAAAACTCCCTTTCCCAAAACTCCCTTTCCCTTCCCTTTCAAACGCCTGCCACGCAGGCTATGATGCTGAATGATCTACGTCTTACTGATAGCTACCGAACCACCACTGCGTGGTAGAGTCGCCATTCATTATACAAGTAAACTTGGGGTTTGTTGTGCCATAGAAGCCAAAGTTGTCCTCACTGGTCACTTGGCCGACAGAGTAATCGAACTGGCATTTGTGTTCTGTGCTCATGTGGCCCAAGTACCGACCGGTTACCTGCCAGAACCCGGCAGTCTTGTGTATTCCAGTGTGACCACGGATGTTGACAAGCTCGGTCTTAAGGCAAACACCTTGACCAAGGAAGGCAAAGATGTCGGCGTCTGCAAACTTTCCACGGACGTAGTCTTTGTAGTTGTTGATGCCGTACTTGTCATAACTGCAGGTGGCTCGCCAGTGGGTGGATACGTCCCTCAGTGACTTCATTCTGTCCATTGTCAGCCGGTAGAGGAACCAGTTAGGCGAGTTTTCGTTAACCGGATTGTTGACTGACAAGGGTGTTTGTCTGTCGGCAAACACAAAAGTATAAAGTAAACTTGCATTCTCATATCCAAATTCGGGGGTTTCTTGGTGTTGCGGACCGGTGTAATTTGCACAAGCGACCCGAGGCTCTTACCCGTTGCTGTGTGACACACTAGCAAGCAGAGTGGGTCAAGAAACGTACTTGGAAAACAATAGAGTCACCTCCCCCCCCTTCCCTACCTGGGGTAGTCTGGTTAAAAGCATTATTTGATTTCCACCCTTTTTCGTAAATAGTGACTATGTAGCCAAGATTTCATTCAATCAAAACATAACTCAATTAAGTTGGAGACCTTAATTCAATAATTTTTTGAGAATTTTTGGATGATCTTTCGGATGGTTAAATGTACGAAAAATTAGGGGGATGTTTAAAATTTTGGAAAAACTGGAAACTATTGGATTTGGGGGTTGATAAAAATTAAAATATGAAGTGAAATAATACGTAGACAATTACCAGATAGTCCACCACCACAACAAGGTGCCTCTGATCCCATTAGCGGACTAAGTGGCTTATGTGTATACCTTTTCTACCCTAATTTATTTCCTTCCCAAATCAACATTTATTATCCCCCCCCCCCAAAAAATAACAACAACAACCGTAATGCCCCCTTAACAACTAGGGAATGTACAAATTTTACAAAGCGAAAAGAATTAATCAAACACACCCCTCACGCCTGACAAACCATAGATTGGCATCCATGTATGGGCTGATTTTTGCCTCTCCGTACTACGTTATTGAGGCAGTAGTTTGGCTATTTGTTCTTTGCTCAGGGAGTTTAAAATTTTCAGTAATTTTCTTTAGCTCTGCACGGCCAAAATAGCTGATTCCCCACGTGCACACAGGTTCTTTGCCATTTTTGCAACCCTTTTTCTGTTCATAACATCCGGAACGATTGACTTCGATTGTTATAATTTAACAACAAACTTCTTCCAAAATTTTATTAACACCAGCTGGTTATAAATAAATTACCAGGAGATTTAGGCCAATCAGAAACGGGAAAATATTTTGAAGAAATAAATAATATTCAGTATAACTTAACGATCTTTAGCATTTCCAAACAAGTACCTAAAATTCGCGAAATGTTTGTTTTTCAGGCTCCAAGACATGACAAGTGTCCAGGCCGCACCAGGTTCTGTTTCCATGTCACAGTACACAGTGAATCCATTCCCTGCAGCATCGTAAATCTTGTAGTAATCGCACTTTTCTGCGCCATTCTTTAGGTGGTCTACGCAAGATCGTGGTTTCAAGTTGTTGGCATTTTCTTGGCATGGTTTCTCCTTTAAATGGCAATCATAGACAAATAATATCTGTAACTATATTGGGACTAGATCTACAGCAATTATAATGTAATGTACGTGGTGTCCGAGAAGATATTAATTGCTGCTTATCATTTTTTTGCATCGACATCGTTATCTGTCCATCTGCCCTCTGTCAGACACGATCGATCGAGAGTTTGCAAACGAGAGGATGAGCTAAGATAGCGACTGATGGTGGGCCGCTGCTATACATCACCTTTGAAATCTATTCTTGGTTCTGGCTCATTCTCTCTTGTTTGCCTTATATGTCTAGCTAGATTTTTGATTAAGCTTTATCGCCAAATGGACCTTTTGCGTCGGACAGTTTTTTCGGCCAAAAACTAAAGTGGCCGTTATAAAAACTAAGAGTGCAACTATTGCTTTTTTTCCCTTCTCCTTCTTTCCTTCTCCTCGCTCTTTCTTTTTCTCCTTTCCTTTTGCCTCGTTACTGCGATTTTAAAGCTTCTCGGGTCCAAAAAATCTGCCTTTTGACGCCTTTTTACTCAATTGACTGCAAATTTCGTTAGGTTGGCTTTCAAAAAATCGGCTAAATGTATAACTGATTATTTCTGTTTCACGATCCCTTAGCCCGAGTATCTCCCTTTATTTTTCTATTTAATTTCTATTTATTTATTTATTCGTTTCAGTTTACTATGTCTTTCTGCCTCAGAAGGTAAGTCCCCTAGAAAGTGCCACCCGAGCTCCTACGTCAGCTAAATATCCATCAACTCGAACTCTGATGAGTTTTCACTTCTTCTCTTCGTTCTCTTTAAGCCTTTTTTTGGCTAAAATTAGTCAATAAATAATATATCTTACCTTATTGCTTGAGACCTGTGCCGGATCCATTTGTTGTTTATCATCAACGTCAAACGTTTTAGCCTTAATAATTACAATAATTTATTATAATGATAATAATGATAAGAATAATTATAATCATAATCATAATAATAGAAGAATTAACAATAGCTAACAATTATTTACCAGAGTTCCCCACTTTTCATATAATCTTATTTTATTTCATTCCATTTCATATCATTTCCCTTTCTATAACAGTCGCTCGAACCTTGATTATCTGCAGTTTTCGATTATCAGATCTTGTTTCCTTGGTACAGTCCCGTTTTTTTTCGTGAATATTTTAAAATAAGATGTGATCTTGTTATAGTATTGTATAACTTTTATTATTATTATTTTCTTATAGTTAAATAGCCCTTTCTTTTTTATGTCTTTTTGCCGCATGACAATGTAAGTTTTGAAGGAGACACAACACCCTTATCTCAGCTAACCATCTATCTCATGATTCATTAATTCTTACTTCACTTGTTGGCCGGTGCTATGATATTATGTATCTTTGATAATTAGCTAATACAAAATGTCCTACCTTGGATTCAGAAATCTGTGCTTGATTCATTTTTTGTTTGACATCGGCGTGAAAAGTTTTAGCCTTAAAAAATATAAATAAATGGTATGAAATAAATATTGATAAAGAGAAATAAAAATATTTTATTGCAATTATATTAAAATAGATCGAATACACATGTACAGGTCACGTAATTTATCAGGCTTAGGAAGGCGCCAAACGTTAACATTGTAGAACGTTCAATATGTCCATGCAAATCATTTTTCACTCCCTGCATGAACATGTAATAATTAATTTAACCTCAAGAAGCAAAGGCTGAGGTATTACCAATTTTCCTTGGCAGGCACCATGAGCAGCTATCAGAAGAAAAAGGCAAGCGAAAGAAAACTTCATGATGATATTACAGCCACTCAAGAGAATAATTCACTTGAAACTGTCCGTTCACGGATGGATCTGTTAAAACGGAAAAAAATAACGGTGAATTTGTTCCTCTAGCATTTTCAAGTAAGAAGAGACTTCGAGCAGTCTCTCTTTTATTGAAGTCAGATTTAATGAGGGGAGTGCACGCTCGCGCGAAGTAATGCGTCAAGTAATAGGATGAGAGATCAATTTTGATTCTTGTAGTACTTACCTGCAATGTTACCAGAGCTACGTGTAAAACGAGCCTCGGCCTAAGTTTTAAGAACTTAAGGTCTTCAAGAAAGGTGTAATGAAGAATGATTTAAGCTGCCAATTTGCCGACTAATTTTCAGAATTTGATCGGTCGCCAAAGTGGGTAATTCAAGCGCTTTGGCGCCTTCATTGTAGACGCAAATTGTTATTCTGTTTGTACGATTACACGAGCTCATTTTAACTCAATTTTTGCGGACTTAATGGCTAGCTTAAGGCATCTACGCCCCTGATTGCGAGAATTCTTAATAGTCGGAGTTTTATTGATTTCAATTGCAGTCTGAGCGTCTATTGCAGATCATTGAGCTGCTATCCATTTTAGCGGGGCCGCTCGTAACAAAGGCCTTGCAGAGTTAGACATAAGCTGAAGAGGTCGTCTTTAAAACGTCTTTAAATATGAACACTCTGCTACTTACCGATAAACCACTCTAACCTGATCGACCTACAAAACGAAACATACATGTTAATTACTGAGAATGTCGAACAGTACAAAGTATTCAATTCAGTAATTTGGAAATAAACAAAATGTTTAGCTAAAACCCTACCGAAAATGGGTGCGGATGAGAGAAGTCTTCAAGTGACGTCTCCAGGGAGGTTGTAAACAGCCTTGATTTAAACTAGAAAAACCAGTTATTCTTGAATTCATTTGATGTGTAACTTCTTCAGACTTGTTTTGTCAGATTCCTGGTGTTCCAGCTTACACCTGGTATGGCAGTTCCCATCCAATGTCAGTTCTCCAAAAATTAATATTGAATCTGACAAATCCGGCAGTAAGGCACAAAAAAATATTTTTTTAAACTTAATTGCGATCTCACCTTGTTTTCTCAGTTGATGAGTGGCCAAGTTAATTAAAATGATTTATTACAATAATGGTATCTTAAACAACATGAAAAATTTTAATTACGTGATTGAAAACAACCAAGCAAAACACTGATGTGTGTTTTGCCAAATGAATTACACACTGAAGCTTTACTTTCTAAAAAGTACTGAAAGTCATTAGTGAGTTATGATCCCCATTGCGATCAGTAATTTGCGTTCATCAGAACGCATTCTAATCTGGTGGTACAAAGGCAGAAATTTTCAAACTATCACTTGCTACTGCCGGTTAGCAGCCCCTATTAATTTAATCAGGGGCATGTGGGCCGCAGGAAATTAAACTGGGCTCCTTTGGACTCGTTTTCGTGCAGATGTCATCCTTGTAGAATAAAGACTAACGCGGATCTATAATCAAGTCTTGCTTGCTCAGAGATTAGATAAGAAACAAGACACTCTTAAAGTGTTAACTCGAGGTTGTTTGGAGATTAGATAAGAAATGAGGAGAAGATAAATTCTTAAGGAGTCAGGTGCAGCTAGGCATACGTTACACAGTAACTACTGACTGCCTTATGGTACATAGAATAGTCAGACTAAAGTTAAACTGGACAAAGATTATAGTTCAATCGTTACACTTTATAAATCTATAGTGGAAATTTCCAATGATGTCTAGGCAATAATGCTGTAATTTCAAGCAATCTTCCATAATCAAAGGCGACACCACGAGGCAAAGATCGAGACCTTACAAATCTACGAGATCAAGGAAACATCAATGAGACGTCAGTATGTCATTAAGTAAAGCAGGGCCGAAGTCTTAAAATATCTAACACGCGTTTTAATGGTAATGGGCACCAGATTTTCCCCACGCCCTCCCCTCTTCTACCCCACCACCACCAGACAAACGTCTTTAAAACTTCATTCGCGACTTTCCGGAGCTACATCTTCAAATGCTTCAGACGTATCCAAAAGGTCTAGATAGCAGCAACAATATAGATAGTCGCATAAACATAACAACTTTCTTTAATTTCCCAGACATGTTTCGACGGTACATCCGTCATCTTCACATTCTCGTCCCCAGAGCCACTCGGCTTAATTTGTAACCGACCAGTGGCTCTGGACGCAACGGAAAATACCAATTTTTTCATTGGCTGAAGGCAATTGAATGCGCAAAGCAAATTGAAAATATAATCTACTGCGCATAACATTTTACTTCGTGCCCTCTCGACCTGCAAACATAAAATCTGTGTCTGACTTTCGTTTATTGCGACAATCCTGTTTTGTTTTTATGCAATAGCAGTGAAGAAGAGAATTGCAGGTAAAGTTTGAGAAGTTTCTACGAAGATAACGAGGCTTGACAAAGAAAGTATTGCCTTCGTTGTGAGCTAAACTTTGCCCCTGTCTCGACCGTCGCATCTCCTGGGAAACTGAAAGGAGGTGGTTAGTTAGCTCTTCCTGTTGCTCCTTCCTCGTTAAAAATGAAGCGATTGATACTGTACTTGTATGTCGTTATTAATTAGCCTAATCCGTTTTTCTAATTCCTCTGGATATTCGTCGGTGCTACAGTAGGAAAGGAAATCTAAGCTCCGACTACATTACAGAAATGATATGTACGTTAAGTTTATTGCAGTGTGCTTTTAATTTATTGTATTTTCTGCTGAAAGAACATCTCCTTTGCTATACTAAGGTCAAGATAATATTTTGTTATATGCCTTTATTTCATTAGACCACTGATGGCAGTGCACAAAGCCAGAACTGAATTGCTTATGAATCATTTTGGGCTGCATGCAAAGGGCAATTTTTTAATTGTGTAAAGATGATAGAGCAAGTACTCTTTCCAATCCACGTTTTCTTCCACTTAATTAATGCTTAAATCATGCTTAGATAATTCGGAGGCTTTCGTTTAATTTCTATTTTAACAGTAAGAGGAAAGGCTATAAGGCCGACTTATTACAATGTTTTGCAAGAAGATATTGATCGATATTCTCATCCTAACAGTCCCTGCTTGGCTTCCAGTCGTGTGGCATTTAGACAAAGATAAACAAGGGGCTCTGGGGTTATTTACTGATAAACAGTTAACAAAGAAGCAGCTTTTGCACAATTTTTCTTGATAAATAATTATGTTATCTGATCACTACATAGGGTAGCACAATGTTCTCAACCTTTT